CCCCCTCTCGGGCAGGCTGCATCTGGGAGCCCTGACCCCAGTTACCCGACAGCCTCTCCCCGCCCCTGCGCCGACCCAGGGACAGGCCCTCACCTGGCGCATGTCCTTGTAGCTGTGGTGCCGGAAGTCCAGGTTGTCGGTGGCCACCACCTCGTTCTGTGCGTAGTAGCTGTGGACAGCTGCAGCAGGCGGCCGGGACCCTGAGCGGGCCACCAACCAGCCCCTCCACCCCGGCCAGCCCCCACCCGGCTGCCCGCCAGCCCCCTGCACTCACGAGTCACGGGACACCCCAGCACCTCCAGGCGCATGCACAGGCTGCCGTTCCAGGTGAGAGGGTAGACACGGATGAAGCGGGCCACCACCGGCTCCGGGAGCTCGCTCAGCACGGGCGTGTCCTTGTCCACGTTCCCATGGAAGGTCTGGGGAGAGGCTGGGCTCAGAGCAGCCCCCCCCATCCCTGCCAAGAGCCGCTCCCAGTCCCAACGCCAGGGCAGAGCCATGAGCTCAGGCGCCCACCATTTCCTCGTAGCCATTGGTGCACATGGTCCACGTTTGGCTGTCGTTGCTGAAGCCCACGAAGAAGGAGGTCACGAAGTCGTCACTGGGGAGCAGATGGCGGTCAGGGCAAGGCTGCTCTCCCTACCCCAGGTCCTGGGGCCTCAGGAGCTGGCAGGGGCGTGTGGAGCTCGCCCTGGGAGGCAAGAGTGGCTCCCACGTCCGCTATGTGCCACGGGTGAGTGATCTGCTCATCCACGAGGATTGAGCGTGGCACATCCTGCGTGGGATGCAGTCCTGTGCCCAGGGCCATCCACCCCTCGAGAAGTGTCTGGGAGTCTGGCTGACGTACTGGATGCTGGAGTCACGGCCCTGGGTGATGACGCCCGTGAACTTGGTGATCCTTCTGGTGTCGACCTCAATCCACTGTCTCTGAGCGTCATCCTCAGCGCACCATGCCCCATCGTAGTAGTCGTCCTCAGTGGCCCCAGCCTGTGGGGGGGGGGTGGGATGAGCAGGGGGAAGAGCCCCCAGGCCAGCTGCAAGACGGGCGACCCTGACACCCACCTGTATGTTGAGCCGGCCTCGCTGGGCGCCCAGGCCGTGGCGCAGCATGGACGAGGCCCGGATCTGGTTGTCCTCGATGCGGTGGGACTCCATCCCAATGGGGGGACACTCTAGGGACATGGCACCCAAGGCTGGTGGCCCAATGGCTCTGCCACTCCCTCCCGAAATCCAGAACGAGGAGCCCAGAGCCCACGCCCGAGCATCAGGGGACGCTCGTCAGGGCATCCGCACCCCAGCCTGTGCTTCCCCTCCCCGGAACTCAGCTTCCTCCTCCCGAGAACTGGCGGGTGATGCTGTCTCCAAAGGGCCCTGGGGCTCACGTGAAACTACAGGGAATGGCAGGCATGGAGCTCAGCCCCTCCCAGCCACCACCCGCTTCAGGGCCTCCTGCATACTGCCTTGTGCTGTGAGTTCTATCCCCGGAGGGTGATCCCAGGGAAGAGATACTCCAGGACCTGTCCCTCCTGGGTCCCAAGATTTTAAGAGCAGGAAAGGGTTCTGGAGGCCTGGAGCATCATCAGGAATTCCAGGTTTGGGACCCACGCGTGGCTTTGGGTCGTCTGTTCAGCACCCTTACCCTGCTGCCACTGCATGGACCCCAGCCCCCACAACCCCCACACTCCCCAGCCTCCCCACATACCCCAGCCCCCCAACATACACCAACCTCCCCCCATACACCACCCCCAGTCCCCCACACTCCCCAGCCCCCCACATACACCAGTTCCCCACACAGTCCCCAGCCCCCCACTCCACAGACCTCACATACACCAGGCCACACACACCAGCCCCCCCACATACCATGTCCCCCACATACCCCAGCCCCCACATATACCAGCCCCCACAACACTTCATAGACCCCTCAATCCCCAGCCCCCACATATACCCGCACCCACCTTACGGCAGACTCCCCACACTCACACACCCATCCCCACATACCCCAGCCTCCCCACCCCCAACCCCCACACCTGCTCTCCAGCCCCCTGCAGCCCCCTCCAGCCCCCTGTGAGCCCCCCTCACTCACTGACTTTCTCGGTCGGAGCCCACTCCTCCTCCAGCTCCTCACCCTTCCGGTGCCCTGGAGGCAACAAAGGGAGATGTGGTGCAGAGGGTCCTGGGTCTCGGCGCACGCGCGCTCTCTCACAGATGCCCGGGCAGTGAGTCCAGCCCCAGACGCACACCTTTGTGGTCCTTGCCCTTCTCCACACTCCACTTGTCATCCTTCTCGTCCTCCTTGGGGCTGCCCTCCTTTTTGGGTTTCTCTGAGTAATGGAAGGTAGAAGCCATCTTAGCCCTGGGCTTCAGAGGGCGAGGGGCCCGGGGTCGGGCCTGCAGGGCTGGGGGGCTCGGGGGTCAGGCCGGGGTGGGAGCTGGGGGGCTCGGGGGTCAGGCCGCGGGGGGAGCGACGCGGCTGCACTCACTCAGCTCCTCCTTCTCCTCGTCTGTCTCCAGCTCAGCGTGGGGCTTCCCGGGTCTGGGAGGCCCGAAGTAGTAGTCCACTGTGGGGAGGCAGAGCCCTGCTGTGGCCCAGGTGCTGCCCCCAGGGCCCTCTTTGTAGGCCAGAGCTCCTGGGTCCACAGGAGCCTGGCCAGCAGGACCACGCAGGAGGGAGAGCAGGAGGAGGCGGGATCAGGGTGGGCCTTGAGGAATCCAGGTAGGCAGGGATGCATAGGGAGGGTCTCCTGGAGGAGAGGCCGTCTAGGCACAGGTAGGGTGAGCCCGAGCCGGGGAAGTCACCAGCCTGGCTCAGGAGGGCATGGCCTGGGGAAAGGTGAGCCATGGAGTCCTGGGCAGGGAGTGGGGCGCACACAGGACACACCTTGAATAACACCTGACGCCTGTAGCCAGGAGGGGCTGTTCTTGAGTGGGGGCTGAGCGGGGGCCAAGGGTCAGTAGGAGGGATTGGTGGGGACCTGGGGACAGGGAAAGGACAGGGACCTTTTCAGGCCCCCGTGGACACAGGCACAAGAGGGAGAGGACGGTGACCGCCCAGAAGGAACTGGAGTCCTGCGCAGTGATGGGAGCCGGCGGGGGGCTTCAAGTGGCAGGACCCGTGGCAAGGCAACTCCCACAGAAAGCACAGGAAGCAGGGGCGTGGTGGGCCGGGCAGGGCACTCACTGTCGTCATAGTGAGGGATCACATAGCCGTCCCCGTAGTCAGGGGGCAGGGGCGGCGGCAGCGGCTTTGGAGGCGGCTCTGTGGAGGTGGGAGGCAGGGGTGGGCCCAGAGCCCCCGCGCCGGGCAACCCTCCCGCCCCCCGGGGTCCCCATCCTACCAATCCTCTCCTCCGGGGCCTCCAGTCCGGGCCCGGGCGGCTTGGCTTTCTCTTCCAGGCGTTCCGGCCAGGGCCGCTCAGGCCTCCTCCTGGTGGGGGGTGGCCGGGGCCGCTTCTGGCGCCTGATGTACTCAACTGAGGGGGAGGGTGGGCTCTGAGCTAGTCCAAGGGCCCCCCTCAAAGGCAGGGGGGCTGGGAGGACAGGGCTTCTGGGTGGGCTGACCCTCGGTGGAACAGGGGCCAGGGGTGTGGATCCGGACGGGGGGCAGGGGGGCCACTCACAGTCCTCGTAGTCCTCCCTCTCTATCTGGTCGTTGTAGTCCAGGGTGGGCGGCTCAGTCTCCTCCTCCGGCTCTGGAGGAAGTGTTCATGGCTGGCTTGTGGAAGATACTCACTGATGCCCCTCCCCAGGCCCACCCTAGAAACCCAGCCAGCCTAGGCAGCGGGTCCCCCAAGGCCGGGGAGACATTGTCCACTCACCAGACTGGCGCTCCAAGTCAGTTTTTTCTCCTGGATCCAGCCAAGGACCTGGGAGGGCCCCACCTGCAAACACAAAGCCCCCATGCCAGTGGACAGGAAGCCCACCCTGACCGCGGCTCGTACACGGAGCGCCCAGGAGACCTAGGCCATGCCGATAGCTCCTGGAAGCCTGAGCTCACTCCCAGGAGGCCTGGACTGCTCTGGCCTTCAGCACCCAGTTGGCTTCTCCTGGAGCCGGAGAGCTGGAGGGTTTTCTGGGGAGCCCAGGCCCCAGTAGGAGGGCACCCCAAAGGCCGAGGGCCCCACAACACACAGGAGAAGGGATCCAAGTGGGGCCCAGGGGACAGATCCAGGATACTGGAGATCAAACCCCATCCATAAGGCCACCCCTACCCAAGGGAGGCAGCTGCCCCCAGGGAGGTCCAACCAAATGGCTACATTCATGACAACAAGAAGTCTACGGGGCCCACCCTGAGTGGCCCTCAGATCTATCTGCAGGAAGCAGGGGCCTAGGGACTCCCTCCCCCTCCCAGTTGCCTAGCAGTCAGAACCCCACAACCCCAGGAGAGGCTGCACACACCTCCCTCCTGGGGCAGCTCCTCGGGGCCGGGGCTTGGGGGTAGGGGCCGTGGCCACCACAGGGTTTCTGAGGGGGTGGGGGTGGGGGGCCTCTTCCCAGTCGAGGGCCTTTTGGTGGCCTTGGGTGGCTTCTCCTTGGGCTTCTTGGTGGCCTTGGGTGGCTTCTCCTTGGGCTTCTTGGTGGCCTTGGGTGGCTTCTCCTTGGGGAATTGTCCCCTGCTGCAGATTGGGCACAGGCGAGCGAGCGGGAGGAGGGCGCTGGCAGGCAGCACAGCTGTGTGACGCTGGGCCACCAGCGTGGGCGGCAGGACTGGGCTGGGCCAAGGCTCCACCCGCCACCGTCCTCCCCCCCACAGACACACACACACACACACACACACACACACGCGCGCGCGCGCGCACACACGTGCACATTATCCACGCACACGACATGCAGAAGTCAGCCGCACACGCACCTGTACGCACACACGGGTCAATCACATATACACGTCTACCCATCACGTCTACATGTAAGGACACATGCAGACACGTGTGTGCACCATACACGCATGTGCACACGCCAAGGCCATGTGTGTACGCAATGAGCGCACACACACACATGCGTTTATGCGTGTACACACATCAGTTACACACATGTGTGAATTACACACACACGTCTATGCACATCAACTGTGAATGCACACGACACACACACGACCTCTCGGAGAGACAGCCAGTGCAGGGCTCCTTGGTTCTCCACGGCCGGGCCACACAGTGCACGAAGGGCAGCAGGGGCTGGCCGTGCAGGGGCCCAGGGAGACCCTCCAGAAAGGGGTGACGCCACTGTGCCTTACTGTCTTCCCCTTGGGTGTACTGCAGGGGAGGGACCCCAGCCTTATACAGGCGGCTGTCCAGACCTCGTCCTCACTCTGGGTGATGCCCCGGGCTTTCCCCTGGAACCGCTCACGTGGGCTGGAGGCCAGCCCTGCAGGAACAGACGTATTCAGACAGAGTCGCCTCCGCCACTTCTCAAAGCCACAGTCCAGCTGAGCGGGGCGCCTCACCCTGCCCCTCCTCTCCCCTCAGGGCATCCTCCTCAATTGGACCAAGGGCTTCAAGGCCTCCGGAGCAGAAGGGAACAACATCGTGGGGCTCCTCCGTGACGCCATCAAACGGAGAGGGGTGAGGCACCCCATGACCGCCCTCAGAACCCCCCTCCCCTCTAGTCACGACGCCAGGGACAGCCTCCTGGGCGACTCTCCCCCCGCCGGACGAGCCTGGAGCAGCCCGAGCCAACACCCCAGCCCGATCACTGTTGCCTCTGGGCCTCTTGGCAGGACTTCGAAATGGACGTGGTAGCGATGGTCAACGACACAGTGGCCACCATGATCTCCTGCTACTACGAAGACCGCCGGTGTGAGGTCGGCATGATTGTGGGTAAGGACTCACGCGCGGCTCTGTCGGGGGCTGGCAGCACACAGCCTCGGCCCACCTTCATCCCCGGCCCTGAGGCGTGAGGGCCGAAAGTCCTGAGCCATGGGCGATGGTCAGAGCAGGGCTCCAGTGCCAGGTGTGGACGGCATAGGGGGCAGGATGTGGGGTGGTCTTGGGGAGAGGCGGGGGTGTCCTGACTGTGGCTAGTATATCGAACACTCACAAGTCCCGGCATCAGAGGACACCCTGGCTAAGGTCTGTGGGGCCCATCGAGATTTAACTACATTCCCCTCGCTGGTAAATTGACCAAACCGACAGATGTGTCCCCGTGGAAGAGGACAAGCATAGGTGACATCGTCCCCTCCTAGACGGTCTTCCTGTCCCCGTCCGAAGTGAAGGCCAGGAATGGAGCGGCACCCGCCCCTGCAGGCCTCAGCTCTTCCCAGGAGCTCTTGAGGGTCCGGAGTGGGCACTGAGCGCGGCTACCGTCTGGTCAGTCATGCCCGGGCGTGCAGCTGCTGACTCCGGGCTCTGGCTCCCTGGAAAGTCAGTGGCGAAGTCATTTGCCCCGCGGGGCCCCCAAGAGCTGGCCCTCACACCCGTCTCCCACGGCACCCACTGGCCTCGCGCCGTCCTCCTCTCACTGCTCACATCTCCTCGTTCCATGTTCGACTTTCCGACGGAAAGCCGTCTCCGAGTCCACCTCCTAAATGTGAGTGGCAAGAGCCCGCTTCCCGGCGGTCCCCTTCAGAGCTGCCCGGGGTAGCTGTCGGGCCGCAGCTCCCCGAGACACCCTGTCTTGGTGTGTGGGCTCTGCTGCCCCTGCCTCGGGCACAGCCCGACCGGAGCAGGGATGGCCGAGGCTGGCCTGGGCTCACCTGTGCCCTGCACTCACTCTGCTCAGTGCTTAGAAACAGGATAATAACCAAGATCCCAAAAATGGGCGAATGCCCATCAAAGTCTGGATTTCTGGGGTTTTCACACACACACACACACGTGCGCGCACACACACACGTGCGCGCGCGCACACACACACACACACCCCAAAAAAAGTGGACGGCCGGGCATCCCTGGACCCGCGGTGTGCAACGGACTCTGTCAATTCCAATGCCCCCCAAAACAGGGCCCAGGACAGAAGCTCAAGCACATGCATGTGAAGGGCCAAGAAACAAGGCTGCTGCGTAACCGAGATAAAACCATGCACATCTGTAGTTGGCAAAGCACCTCGCCCCGTTTTGCTCTGTCCTCCCAAGCACCCGGGTAATAAGGTGTTACCGTCCCCTACTGGGGACGAGGAACAGCCCAGAGGGATGTGCTCATTGATGGGGAGGTCACACAGCAACTGAACCGCCTTCCCACTCTGCCAGGCCAGGCAGTGGTGGGTGTGACAGCAGGGAAGCCGGGAAGCCAGGGCCATAGAGGGCTCTGCGGGGCTGCAGGTGGAGAGAGTCGGGAGAGGTGGGCGCCCAGGACTGCACCTGCTCCCCCTGCTCCCCCACCCCTCACCCCTGCGGCCTGGCCCGCGGCCCCCACAGGCACAGGCTGTAACGCCTGCTACATGGAGGAGATGCAGAACGTGGAGCTCGTGGAAGGGGACGAGGGCCGCATGTGCGTCAACACTGAGTGGGGCGCCTTCGGGGACTCCGGGGAGCTGGACGAGTTCCTGCTGGAGTATGACCGTGTGGTGGACGAGAACTCCCTGAACCCCGGCCAGCAGCTGTAAGGACCACCGGCGCGGCTCCCCCTCCCGCCTGGCTCAGGCAGGCAGATAACGGGCTTGTTTCTAAACGGCTCTGGGGAAAAGCAAACGACAAACCTTTCTCAAGAACTGGTGCCTCCCCCTCGCGCTAGGCGCCCCTGTGAACCCGGCACAGGGAAGTTTGGTCCCCAGAAAGAGGGTCTGTGGGTCGATGGGCTGGGATCACAGGTCAGGTGGCCCAGCCGGTGACCACTGTGGAGGGAGGCTCTGACACCCCCAGTCAGTGCTCACAGCGTTCAGCCCAGAGCTCCCAGGAGTAGACACGTGTCCCCGGTCACGGCTCCGTGAAATGCTGCGGGCTGGTCTGAATGGTTTGAGAACCAGCCCTGGGAAGCTCCTCCGGTCCCGCGAGCCTAAGGAGCCGTGTAGCCGCTCAAGCCTTCGTGCGCTCTGGCCACTCCGCTGAGCCGGTGGGATTCCGAGCGCGTAGAGACAAAGACGCAGGGCATGCTTCTGCCCCCTCGGCGGACTCCAGGAGCCCAGGGCCCCAGCAGGCACCAGCGCCTCTGAGCCTGAGCTCCCCGCTCCGGGCGGGTCAAGGAGAACAGCACCCACCGCGCGGCGGTGGGAGGATGGCGTGGGTTGGGCGCGGGGCCCCGGGAGGAAGGCCGCAGCCTGGACCGCCGCCCCGCAATAGGGCAGGGTTGGTCCCGAGGCCCCGGAGCGCTTCCTAACTCTGAGTCCTGCTTGACATAAACGAGAGTGGGCGCGCACCAGGTCTGGAAGCGGGGTGTCCCAGTGCCCTACCTGGCCTCCTCGGGGCTGCGCGTGGGGTGACCCGGCCGCCCTCCGTGCAGGTACGAGAAGCTCATCGGCGGCAAGTACATGGGCGAGCTGGTGCGGCTTGTGCTGCTCAAACTCGTGGACGAAAACCTGCTTTTCCGCGGGGAGGCCTCGGAACAGCTGCGCACGCGCGGCGCCTTCGAGACCCGCTTCGTGTCGCAGGTGGAGAGGTGCGCTGGGCGCGCAGGGCTAGGGGCAGCGCCGAGGCGTGGGCGGGGCCGAGGCGTGGGCGAGGCCCCGGGATCCCGGCGAGGGTCCGGGGCTGCTCGTGGCCCGCAGGGGAGCACGTACGTACCCGGGCCCAGGGCACAGCCCACGCATCCCCTCGGTGGCTCCCCACCGCCGTGGAGATCGTCCCACTTCCTCCACGCGCCAGCCCCGAGGCGCGCCAGGGTCGCCCACGTTAGAGCGGAGGGCCTGGGCTTCGAGCGAGGCACAGTGACCGGTAACTGGGGTCCTCGGCGGAATCGGACCCGCTCCCGTGCGGAGTGTGAGCCCCGCCTTCGCCTGGGTGAGGTGGGCAGGGGGAGGGGAGGAGGCCGCCGCCATCGGGGTCGGGGTCGAGAGACCCTCCAGCGACACCCCCCCACCCCCCCGCAGTGACTCTGGGGACCGCAAGCAGATCTACAACATCCTGAGCACGCTGGGGCTGCGGCCCACGGCCACCGACTGTGACATCGTGCGCCGTGCCTGCGAGAGCGTGTCCACGCGTGCCGCGCACATGTGCGCCGCGGGGCTGGCGGGCGTCATCAACCGCATGCGCGAGAGCCGCAGCGAGGACGTGATGCGCATCACCGTGGGCGTGGACGGCTCGGTGTACAAGCTGCACCCCAGGTGAGCCCCCGCGGTCGGTCCGCGGCCCCGCATGCGCCTCGGGCGGAAGGCGAGTGGAACCCCCAGGGTTGTCCCCGGGCCCCCTGGGCTTACTGCTCCGGCTGCTGCGGGGGCGGGGCGGGGGTCTGCGTGCAGGGGGAGGAACGGCAGCCCTGCTTCCCCTGCCAGCTTCAAGGAGAGGTTCCATGCCAGCGTGCGCCGGCTGACGCCCAGCTGCGAGATTACCTTCATCGAGTCGGAGGAGGGCAGTGGCCGGGGCGCGGCCCTGATCTCCGCGGTGGCCTGCAAGAAGGCCTGCATGCTGGGCCAGTGACCGCGGAGGCCACCAGGCAAGGAGGAGGCAGTGGCTCGCTGGACCTGGGCCCCAGGGGATGTGCTCCCCACAGATGCCCCCACCCTCGCCCAGGAAAGAGGTCTCTCTTTGTGAGGACCGGGGACGCCTCCCATCCCCACTGCCTCCCCAAAAGATGGGGAAAGGCCCACGGGGGATTTCGGGGCCCCCCCGGGAGGCCTCTTGTCTCAGAGGCAGTTGGTGGGACAGCCCCTGGCCCTAACTGGGTTTTGGGCTGAGGTGAGCAGGCATGGAGACCCCACAAAGTCCTTCACCTGCGTGACGGAAATCAAAGACCAGGAGGAGAGTCACTCACTCAAGACTTGTCTGCATGTCCACACTGCGTCCTCCTGGAGCCTTCAGCCTGACCCAGCCTCGCCCGGGGCCTGCTCTGGACGCCCCCTCTCCTGCCTGGGAACTCAACCCACTGGGGAGGCAGCTGACCTGGCCAGATCTAGAGTGGGGCTCCACAGGGGGCCAGAGGCTGCCGGCACCCAGGCCTGGCTGTTTTTATGCCTGCTGGGGACCGGGAAATGGGAGAGGACCAGCTCCACCCTGGAGGCTGCTTGTACCCCGAGGCCTGGAGATGGTGGCCTTGCTGCTCTCCTGCCACCATCCATGAGTGGTTTGTGGCTCTGGGATGGACCCTTCCAGGTGGTGCAGGACACAGAGCCCCTATAGCCCCTGTGTGCCCAGAGGGACCCCTCTCCCCTCTCACCCCCGAGCAGGCCTGGGAGCACCTCTGTGATGGGGTCCTGGGCTCCCACAGGGCTGACGGGGAAAGAGAGGTCAGCACTCCGCACGCAAGGGGCCACCCAGGCTTCTCTTTTCTCACCAGACCTCTGTGCGCCACACCAAGCTCCCACACCCAACCTGTGACTGTGTGGCTTTTTTAATTAAACGTTTTAAAAGTTTAGAACATGGCGTTGACCAGTGTCCTTTGATCTTTGGGCATAAGGGCAGGGGGACAATATGGAAACATGGTCACATGTGCACAGATGTTCCACAAGCCTCGGTGTCTGGAAATTCACCATGCCCTCCAGCCAGCTGTGCTGGGGAATGTGAAGGGACACACTGGGCTGTGGGAACAGAGGTGGCCTCAGCGGGAGGGTGGTTGGACACACCAGCTTGGCCTGGCCGTCTGCGGGATGTGCGTGGGGACCCACAGGCTCTAATTGCCTCTGGGAGCGCCTGGGAAGGAGTTGGGGGCCCGGGTGCTGCTCTGGGAGGTGGGACAGGGCTGGTCTCCGCCGGGGCCCCCTGGAGCCACTTGGGTTGTGACAGTGATGGGAGGAGAGGAGGGTGATTGCCGAGGTCCTTCCAGGGGCTCCTGGGCGACGTGCCTGCTCTGAGTTAGCTGGGCCAGGCCTGGCGCCCTCTCTCAGCTATGCCCCGTTAACCTGTCACGTTGTGGGGTTAGACCATACGCGCTCTGCGATGAGAGGAACCACAGACCCGCAATGACTGTTTGATTCGGAGCTCACCCCAGAGCCGTGGCTTTGAGACGTTCTCTGGTTTTTCCGGGTGTCCTGTGGGGGACCAGGGCAGATCGTCTTAGGTCTCCTGAATCTCGGTTATGCACTGGGATGTCGCACAAGGGTCCGGTTACTGCACAGCAGTCCTTCGGTCTCGGCATCCGTGTTGGACCCTGTGTCGATGTAAGCTACTTCTCTTTTTTTTTTTTTTTTAAGATTTTATTTATTTATTTGACAGAGAGAGATCACAAGTAGACAGAGAGGCAGGCAGAGAGAGGGAGGGAAGCAGGCTCCCCGCTGAGCAGAGAGCCCGATGTGGGACTCGATCCCAGGACCCTGAGATCATGACCTGAGCTAAAGGCAGCGGATTAAACCACTGAGCCACCCAGGCGCCCCCGAAGTAAGCTACTTCTTAAGCTCTTTTCCCTGCCGTTCGGAGGCTGCTCTTGATTTTTTAAGTTCCCTTTGAGAATAGGTTATATATTTTACGGATTTCATTTCCGGAGAGAGAAGGAGGTATCGTCAAACTCTTTTTGTTGCACAAAAGAGGCCTGGGGTCCCATGGACCACCCAAGCGCCTGCTCTACCAGCTGGCCTCTGCACTGTCCCCCCCCCCAGGGGCAGGGCGCAGTTGCAAAGAGCCCAGTTCCAGGGGAGGGAGGACAGCCAGTGGGCCCTCTCCTCTGCTCCGGGTTCCAGAGGGCAGCCAGGGGCCCGTGACGTCTGTTTTAGAAGGTCCCCAGCCCCCAGCCCTTTTCGGGGCCCTAAAGGAGCAGGCAGGCCTGCAGCAGAGTGGGATGAGCCCGGGACCTGCATGGAGCCTCACATGAAGGACTCAAGACCACTTTCTTGGGGGTCCAAGGGGATGCTTGGGGCGCAGGTCGTGCACCGTGTTCCAAACATGCCTCGCACACAGATTCATTTGGGGTCACAGCCAGCTCAGGGCTGCCTTCTGTCCTCCGTCAGAGGGACCAGAGGCCAGGGCCCCCGTCCACCCAAATTCCGGGAATCCCTGGGGGTCTCAGGCCAGAGACCATCCTCAGAAATACCCATTGCCCTTCCCAAGCCCAGTAGAGGCCTCAGGCCAGTCCTCCGCACGCTGTCCTCTTGGATGGGGCAGGTTCTAGACTGGACCTGCAGGAGGGACAGTCAGGTGGGGGTAATACGGGAGACTTCTCATTCGGAGCGATACCTCATTCAGCACCCAGAGCGGCGGAAAGCTGTGAGCCTGTGAGCTCTGCCCTTGGGAGCCGTTGCTGCTGGATGGGTGGATGTCTGGATTTTAGACATCAGGGGGCCCGAAGGTCACCAGGAACGTGGCTGGAATCTGCCTGGGGCCCTGTCTTCCCCCAGCTCAGGCAGGGCTGCCAAGTTTGGGCTTGTCCTCTCTTCCTGTCCTTATTTGGCGCTCCAGGTGATAAGACTGAAATGTAAAAGGGGCTGCGGGCCCCTTGTAGCAATTCGGCTGCCACGGAGAGAGGATGGTGAGTGCCGGGGGGTAGCCAGAGGCCAGCAGGCTCCCAGGTGTTGTCCAGTAGGCTGGGGGAAGAGAGCTGGTGACGTCTCTCCTCGCGATGGGCCTGGAGAGGGGGTCTCCAGAGGTGGGAAGAGGAGCCGGGCCTAGGAGTGCTCTCCCAGGAGTGCTCGGGAGGTGTGCGTGGGAAGGGAGGAGTATTTGGGGAGCCGGGGAAAGGGCCTCTCCCCACCTACAGTGTTGCAGGCCAGCAGGAAGGCGGGGACCCGGGGCAAGGCCGCAGCCACCAAGCAGGCCCAGCGAGGCTCTTCCAATGTGTTCTCCATGTTTGAGCAAGCCCAGATCCAGGAGTTCAAGGAAGTGAGTGCCCCCACCCCAGCGGCCTGGGACCGGTCCTGACACCCACCCTGCCTCTACCCCCTCTTCTCGGTACTCAGTACTCAGTCGTCCCGGCCCCTCCCGGTCCGTCCACCCTCCAGGACCCCTCCCCACCTCCGGCCTTCCCCGGGGTGGGGGCTGTTCCCTCTGAAGGACGGTGCTCTCCACCGCCCAGGCCTTCAGCTGCATCGACCAGAACCGTGACGGCATCATCTGTAAGTCAGACCTTCGGGAGACCTACTCCCAGCTCGGTGAGTGCTTTCACCTTCCCCTGCTGGCAGAGGAGGGGGTGGCTGCTCACACCAGGGGAGCGGCTCCGGCTCAGGGGGCTGGTGGGAGCCCCACTGAGAAAGCACAGGCCCCCTGGCCAGGCAGCGCCTGCCTCCCTCCTTCCCTGCTCCCACCTCTCTCCCCCTCAGTCCGCTAGCACACACCTCCCCTGCACTGGCCACAGCTCCCCATTGCTTCACGCTTCTCCCCGGTCTGTGGCAGGGAAGGAGGGGGGCCGGCCTGGGCAGGCGGGGAGCCTGGCCGGCCCGTGTCCATCCCGTGCCCCGCTGCCGCCAGGGAAGGTGAGCGTTCCGGAAGAGGAGCTGGACGCCATGCTGCAGGAGGGGAAGGGCCCCATCAACTTCACCGTCTTCCTCACACTCTTTGGGGAGAAGCTGAACGGTCAGCCCCGGGGCGGGGGGTTGGGTCTCCCGGCCTGGAAGCCACCTGAGCCCCTCCCGAGCCCCACCCAGGCCTCGACTGGACTCTCCTTGGCCCAGGCCCACCCAGGGCCCATGGAGCTCTCCCCTGCCTCCCCGACCCGTGGGCACTGGTCACCCCGACCCAAGTCCCAAATCCTGGTCTCCTGGCCAGGCTGCCCCAAGGGGAGGTGGCCCTAGCCTCTCCTCTCCTGGGACGGGACAGGCCTCTTGCACCCCGGGGGGCCTCCTGGGTGGGGGCTGGGAGGCCAGGGGCACCAGTGCTCACCTGCTCCCCCCCGCCTGGGCTCCCAGGGACAGACCCCGAGGAAGCCATCCTGAGCGCTTTCCGCATGTTCGACCCCAATGGCAAGGGTGTGGTGAACAAGGATGAGTAAGTGTGTGAGAAGGGGCACAGAATCTGCAGGGGGCCCCGGGGGAGGGCGGCCACCTGGGCCGTGGGAGCCTTCATAGCCCCCCGACCAGGCCAGACTTTGGCTCTCCCCAGGTTCAAGCAGCTTCTCCTGACCCAGGCAGACAAGTTCTCTCTGACTGAGGTGAGGATTCTGGTTCCTTCGAGGCCCTCCCCTCCCCTTCACAGGGCTCTTAGCCGCAAGGCACTGGGCTGGGAGTCAGTGGGGAGGGTCTGGGGTCACAGGTCTCCCTCGGGTCACGGGTCACCCCTGCTGGCCACCGCAGGCCCCCCAGCCAGTCTGCCTCTGACCACACACCCCCCCCCCCAGGTGGAGCAGATGTTCGCCCTGACGCCCATGGACATGGCAGGGGACATCGACTACAAGTCTCTGTGCTACATCATCACCCACGGGGACGAGAAGGAGGAGTGAGCTCGACGCAGCTGCGACTCGGGGCCAGCCCTTAGGGACACCACAATAAATGCTGTTTTCCAATCACACCTGCAGTAGTGGCCTGTCTGGGATGGATGGGGTGGGGGCCAGCAGGGGGAGTGGAGGGACTCAGCCACTTGGCGGCTCAGCTCGGGCCACCCCAGACTGCTCCGCAATGGTGGGCCAGCGTGTGCCCACTTTATGGGTGAGGATACATCTAGGAGACGGACTGCGGGGCTTTGAATGGCCTCCACCAGGCCCGCACCAGC